CACCCGGGGGGGGGGGGGGGGGGGGGGGGGGCGCTGGGGTTAACGGCCTCTCACCAGGCGCCTGCGCACCGGGGGCGGTTGCGGCCTCGACGGGACGGGAGGCAGCGGAGGTGAGAGCGGCGGGGCGCGGTGAGACTCCTCTTCCTTCCTCGGCCTTCATTTCGGGTTGTCCTGAGGGGAACGCGCTGCCGCCCCCCGGGGTTGCGTGGCCCTGTCACCGGCTGAGGCCGCCCCGGGCTGACAGGGCCGCGGCCGGGCAGTGCGGGCCTTCCCTTCAGCCTCTCCAGCCCGGGGTTTAGACCTCTACATGGAATGCACGGCCTGGGTTTGTGGGACAAACTCGTCCTGGGGCGTCCAGTGTGTCCAGGTGGCCAAGAAGGCCACCAGCATCCTGGCCTGTGTCAGGAGCAGCGTGGGCAGCAGGAGCAGGGCAGTGATGGTGCCTCTGGACTGGGCACTGGTGAGGCCTCACCTCCAGGGCTGCGTCCAGTTCTGGGCCCCTCACCACAAGAAGGACATGGAGGGGCTGGAGCGTGTCCAGAGGAGAGCCACCAAGCTGGGGAGGGGTCTGGAGAACAAGTCCTACGAGGAGAGGCTGAGGGAACTGGGGTTATTTAGCCTGGAGAAGAGGAGGCTGAGGGGAGACCTCATTGCCCTCTACAGCTCCCTGAAAGGAGGGTGGAGAGAGGTGGGGGTTGGCCTCTTCTCCCAAGGGAATCATGAGAGGAGCAGAGGAAATGGTCTGAAGTTGGGGCAGGGGAGGGTTAGATGAGATATTGGGAAGAATGACTTTCCTGAGAGGGTGGTCAGGCACTGGAAGGGCCTGCCCAGGGAGGTGGTGGAGTCACCATCCCTGGAGGGATTTAAGAAACGTGTAGACGTGGCACTTCAGGGCATGCTCTAGTGCCCAAGATTACTGGTTTGTGTCTGTTTGTGGGTGGGTGTGGTGTTTTGATTTTTGGTGGGTTGTTGTTTTTTTTTTTTGTGGTTGGACTCCATGATCTCCAAGGTCCCTTCCAACCATGAAGATTCTGTGATTCTGTGATAAAATGATGCTGGGGCAATAAACCCACTTTTTTTCCCATCAGCATAGGAGCTGGTATTTAACTAGAATATGTGGAGTTACTGTTTGAGCGAGGTTTTGGGTATAAATGGTGTTTTTTCCTCTCCCTATGAGGCTCTGCTGTTGTACTGGGTGTCAGTGTACTTGAGGTCCCACTAGTCCTACCAGTCATTTATGGATAATAGAGGAACTTCTGTCTGGTGCCAGTTGTGTTTCTATCTGCAAGACATATCTCTTTATCTGTTCTGTGTTCTACCTGTACTCAGTTCTGTGTCCTGACAAATTATTGCTATGTTTATATAACAAAACCTATACTTGAAATGTTCTGATAGGAACATTATCAAGATAATTGAAGCATCTTTGCATTTTACCTGGCTTTTGTAGCCCCTTCTACCTGCTTAGGATCAAGGCTGAAAGAGGCAAAGACCATTAGATCAGGATGATTTGACTGGGGAACTGGGGTTTTTTATAGTGATTTATCTAATCTTTGTGAATCTGCAAGTGTTACAAAACTGTTACCCAGGTCATCGCTTACAGACTGGATCACTTAAGTAGGAAATACTCAGGAGGCTTCTGAAAGGGGTAAGTCTCAAAAACTAAGCAGACTCCCAAAATTCAGAATGCCATTGCATCATTGGATGAATTTCTGGTCTGTTGAGGGTGTATCAGAAATAATGTATGATATACTCTTTTGTATTTCACGTTGCTCATGAAAGTAGAGATGTATAGAAGATAAGATGGCTTGTATTGCTTCATAATACATAAAAATATAGACTTTAAATATGCTTTTAAATGACTGGGATCTTGTAACTGTCTTGTATAGAGTCTAAGCCATTTCATATTTGCATTTAGAATAAACCCCTAGAACAAAGCATGGGGGGCTAAAATACAGAAAGGACAGATTTGGGGTTTAAGATTCCAATCTTCTAATTTAAGATATTCAAAGTCATTTAAGCTATATTTAAAAATAGACTAAGCTGTATGTTAGCAATCTTCTGCAATAAATTACAGTGAAGATTCTAGTATTTTTAAGCAAAAAGGCCCTGAGCTGTAGACCGTATTTGAGAATGTGCCTGTGTGTAACCACAGTTAGTTTTTCAAAGCCTTTATGTATATTGAGGTCAGTGTCTAAATGTGGGATCTTGTATATGCATGTACCTTTCAAGACTGAGGCTCTGTAGTTGCTAATGTTTTTTTTGTTAGGTCTTTTTGATAGTCACAAAATGTGGGGAAAAAAATCTGGTAACTTAGACCAAGCTTTTAATACTTTTAAAGTTATTTTTGTCAGAGGAAAGGATAGGCGAAACTTCCATATTCCAGCAAGGAGAGAACAGTGCAGTCCAGACCAGGGGAGGAGAAAATTAGAATTTTTTTTAAAAATAGCCATAATAATATTTGTGTTAAACTATCCTTTTGATAGGCTGTATATCTAAGAAAAGATGGCAGACCCCTGGCAAGAATGTATGGATCATGCAGTTGCTTTAGCAAGGAAAGCCGGAGACGTAAGTATAAACTATTTATAAATAATAATGTTATTTATTGAGTCTAGTATGTATAGAGCTTTTGAAGGAGCTTTGATGTTGGATATTCTTCTGAGGAGTATTTTGTTAAAAACATAAATTAGCACAGTCATTCTGTGATGTCCAGGTTCAAGATTGGAGTGTCTTTCATGTTTACAGCTGGGTTAATTTAAGAAAACAACTTTGCACCTTTCTTTGGACCAGAGTCTGATTAAAGAATAAGCATTATCTTTTGTTCCTTAGTTTTGATTTAAAAAAAAAAACCAAAACAAAACATTCTGAATTGTGGTAAACAAAGAGGATGTCTGGTTTTACCCTTAAACTGCACCTGTGTACCTTATTATTTTACCACCCGAAACCTGTTGACGGTCTTTCTTGCAAACTCCTCAGTCAACTTTATGCAGTGGCTTGTTGTTGGCACAAGGTAGCCATGTCGTGTTCTCTTTATGAAGACTGCTTTCCTTCTGTAAATAAGAAGCACCCCTTTGTGATCTAAGAAGGCTTAGGACACAAAAGAGTTTGCCCATCTTGGCCGAGCCTCAGCGTAAGAGTGGTTACTTAATGTTCAGTTCTTGGTAGTTCTCCTTGGTGCAGTGGAATGCTGTTGCAGCCAGACAAGATAGCACATGTGTGAATTCTGTCCCCTGGAGCTGCAGGATCTGCAGAACGTTGTCCCTGCAGTGACCTCATTAAAGTCTTCCTGCAAAATCTTTCTAAGTAATAATAAAATAATTCTGTGGGCTGTGAGGCATGGATTCTTGCTTAAGCTGACTCTGATTCTTTTTAAGATCATAAATGCAGGGTCTGGCTGAAAATAGCTGACTTAAGCTCAGTCTTAAGTGTTTCATTCAACTCTGGTATTGAAATTTATAAATCTAAAAATTGTCCTAACAAAAGAGAGCTCAGTTTTATGCACTGGTGGATCTTGTAGTACTTGGATTTAAGGTCATGTAAAAGTGTGTACTGAGAGAGATGGAGATAGCTGGGTAAGGCCCATCTCCTGCAGTTAGCTCCAGGTTTTGTCGTTGCTTGTATTTGTAAGTGCAGTATAGAAAATTACAGTAAAAATTAGGCTTAAATTTTTTGGGAAAACTGCTATTTTCCATACTGATAATGGAGAAACCCTTTTCCCCCCGCCTTTTGTTAACAGATGATTCGTGGAGCACTCAAAGAAGAAATATCTGTTATGACTAAAAGTTCGCCGGTAGATTTGGTGACAGAAACCGATCAAAAAGTAGAAAACTTCATTATTTCTTTGATAAAAGAAAAGTATCCTTCTCACAGGTATGGGTTCTTATCAATACACTTTTTATAGAAGGAGGGGAGAGGTGACTAGAAGAAGAAAATGGACAGTTTGTGATTTTGCTTGGTAAAATTTCATTACAGTTGGCATGCTGGAAAGTGCCACAGTTCTCCCTTACCCTCAGTATGTTAAGTATTTTAGAGTAGTAATGGGTTGAAGTTTTGCCCAGGGCTGTAGTAACAAAACAAGGTGTCCCCAGGGTCTACTGACATGAATTGACCCTTGCTCAGGACTTAGGCTGAAAGTTACTTCCAGACGAGCCAGCCATAAATAAGGTCTTGGTTATTTGTGTTGGAGAATGAAAGATGGCCCCCAGTTGAAACTGTGGATGGGTCCCATGGTGCTGAGCATGCCTTTGGCAAATCTTACACAGTTTAAGAACAGCAAATATCCTTAAAAGACGACAGGGTATTCTGATTCTGCAGAACTGAAAGTCTGTCATACAAAACACTGACTTTTTTAATCATCTTCCCTTTTTTTTGTCCCCCTCCTCCTTCCCCCCTCTGAAATAAATTTATTCTTGATATACAGTCTCTACACAGACTTATGGAATGACCTTGAAATAACAGTTTCTGTGACAGATAATACTTTTAGAATATTTTAGCTTCTTTTTATATTAGATAATCGATATCACATTAGACATACTGGTGTTGAATTTCTTCTTTTAACAAATTGCTCTTCTGCCTAAATAACTATGCAGGCTTTCTTTTCTCTTCGTGAAGATCTGCTGCTTTTTGGAAACACGGTGTTTCTGAGCAATCACCTTCGCTTCCATAGTTAATCATAAAACTCCTAATCAATATTAAAAGAACTTTATTTGGTCAAGCAGTTCTCCTCATTTTACGTGTTTGTGGAGGAAGGCGTGTGTTTGATGTGTACTTTTCACAGGTTGAGTAATACGTGATTAATTTAAAAACATGCAAAAGGCATGGAAGAGAATTCCACCCTCTTAGACTCATCCCAATAATTTTCCAGTTCAAAACAAATATTTTCATGAGCAGCAAAATTTGTGAAATTTGGGTTCCTGTGGCACTGTGCCTTGTGTAGCCTTTAGTTTTAGTGTTATGCTTGGGCAAGCACTCAGCCATCTTCTTCAGGAGGAGCTCTGGTTTGGATTTCATCCCTTTACCATGTTACCATTTTTGTAAGGCTTGTAAAACTGAACAGTTTTGAGACTAACAACTTTCTGTCATGTTTGGATGGAAATCAGACTACAAATTTAACAGTTGCTGCAATGGTCTAACCAGATGCATATGACCACAAGGGCTTGCTTCAGTTAAAACAGAAGCTAAAAAGTACTGTTCTATAGTACAAATAAGCTGAAAGTTATAAATACCTACAAGTATTCTGACTAAAATTGGATGATGCTGTTACTGGAAAAAATGGTGAAAATGTCAATGTAAAAATGTAAAGTTAGTTCCATAAAGTTCTTTTTCCCACATATTGTGCTAATCTCTGACATCACAAATAATGGTACAAGCTTGGTCAGTGCGGTCGGTGCTTTCCAGATTAATTGTGTATTTCTCAACTTTTTTCCATATGATCACTGATGGTACAAAACCCTACCTCTCACTTTAAAAATTGTAATTTCAAGGGCGCTATTGTAATTGAGAACTCTTAAACAATTTCTTTTTGCCTTTTAAACGTGTTTGCTACTCTAGCTTCATCGGGGAAGAATCTGTTGCAGCTGGAGAAGGCAGCATTTTGACAGATAACCCCACATGGATTATTGACCCTGTTGATGGAACTACCAACTTTGTACACAGGTCCACCTTTCATTTTTTTAACGTTAGCAACTTCAACTGATTAGCTTTTTTTTTTTCTTTCTCTAGTCCCATGAAAGTAAGGGTTTTTTCACTTTTAAATTGCTTTAAAAGAGATGCTATGAACTTGTAAATAGTTACAAATTGCTATTAGCCATTATTAAGAAGTTTTTGTAATCATTTTAGTATTTCTGTATTACAGTAATCTCATTCTGTAACTGACAGCAGCTGTTCCATAAGAGGCCCACACTACATAGCAGGAGGCAGCAGCACAGGTGCCAAAGATAGGAAGGCAGATTTTGACAGTGAAGCAACAGGACTCGGAATTCAGAGTTGCAGCATCTTCAGAGAGGCAATAGCAGCTCCCACTGCTGATTTCTAAGAAATTCCAAATTCTTACTGTGAAAGCAAGCAGAGTATCACCAGTGATTGTCTAGTGGTATTTTGTACCAGGGTAAGGAGGGAAGTTTCAGTGTAGCACTGACTGCCTATTCCTCTGTCTTTGAAATGTGATAGATTTTGGCCCTGATGAGCTTTTCTGAGCATACTTGGTTCTAATTTTGAAATGACTGCCGCTGTATGCACCACGGATTTAAACAGCTGCTGAATCTTGCTAAATAACATATTCAAAAAGCTGTGAGAAAACAACCTATTCTGCTGGATTTACAGACTTAAAAGCCTATGTGTTTTTGTAGGTAGTAATTGAGGCAAATGTTTTAGAACTGCAAATTTTGAAGAGTAAAAAAAAAAATATAATTTAAAAAATGTGCTTGGTTGGTTGTTAAAACCTTAGACTGAGATGCAGCCCACGATCTCCTATATACTCCCCCTGCCTTCCCTCTTTCCTCTACATTCTTTCTTCTCACTTCAATATCTGTCTGTCTTGTTGCTTTGGTGGAGAAAGTGGAGGTGGGGGGAGAGGTGATGTGCTGCTTTTGACGAAACCAGCATGTTCCTGCTGAGAAAGGTTAGTAGTGTCAATGTTTGCTTGTATTCTTTGGCTATAAAATAACAGTCAGTGAGCTAGCAGGGATGGCAGTCCCACAGCTCTAACAAGCTTAATTTCAGTGGATGGAAAAGTTTGTATTTTAAATGGTAATTTGTGTTCTTGGGCCTATTTTCATAGTAAATTATGCAAGTTCCAGAAACGTAGTATTTCCTACACAGTCCAAGTTTCTTTTTGAAATATACATTGCTCTGAACATTGTTTTTATTAACAGCAAGCATGGTAATGAAAGAAGCATAGTATCTCACTGTAAATTAGTGAAATGTTTTGTTTTGTAGGTTTCCATTTGTGGCAGTTTCAATTGGCTTTGTTGTAAACAAAAAGGTATACTTTTTATTATTTAATATCTAATCAATCAAAACCAAATTAATTCTTTGTTGCTAGCTGCAACTAAGACCTGTATTTTCACGGTAAACAGGAAGAAAGGAAAAACATACCTCAAGGTATCTTTACTATTTCTTGCAGATAGAGTTTGGAATTGTGTATAGTTGCATAGAAGACAAGATGTACACTGCCAGAAGAGGAAAGGGTGCATTTTGCAATGGTCAAAAACTTAAAGTATCAGGCCAAGAAGGTAAGCTGAACTGAGTTGCTTATTTCTAGTAATTACATTTATTTTGCAAATGAGGCATCACCCGTTTTAGACCTGGATATATTCCTGTTTCTTAGCTTACAGCTTTGTTTTGCAAAGAAAGGCTTTTCTAGGCCGTGGGTTGTTCAGTTTTGAGAACCAGCTTTTATGTTCTCTTCAATGCAAGTTCTCGATCTTTGCAAAATCAGGTCTCAGCAATTGAAGATTTTATTCCCTGTGTGTCCGTGTGGGGGGTGTGTGTTTTGTTTTTAATTCCCTGAATGTGTGTAATGGTAGATTTATTACAAACTCTAAAGAACAGTTGCAAACAGTTCAGCTTCTTCCAGGTGTGAACTAGTGGTTTAAATCAGCGTCACTCGTGTATACTACCCTATGTAAAGTAAAATCCACACTTAAAGTGGCACCTTTAAAGATCTGAGGACTGTTCTAATTTTTATAGCAATAAAATTTTATTTACTAATGACATTAATATAGATGCACCAGATTGCGCTTTGTTGACTGTATTTTATTTTTTCCTGCCATTTAAGCATGTAAGAACATGTAAGAACAAATTTTTATGCATTTGATATATGTAATATTTGTATTAAAATACCTTAATTTTATTCAGTCTTGTAAGAAAGTAATGATGTAGGCTCTGCTAATTACTGTTAGTGCATAAGTCGTACTGTTGGAAAAGCGAGGTTTTCTTTCTTTTCTAGACATTACAAAATCCCTTTTAGTAACAGAATTGGGCTCAAATCGTGATCCAGAGACTATAAAAATAATTCTTTCCAACATGGAAAGACTTCTCAGTATTCCTATTCACGGGTAAGATACTTCCTAATTTTTATATTTACTGACAGTGTTAATATTTAAATATGTAAATATGATCATTTTCAGGAAGGATGGGTTGCATTACATTTGACACCTTAAATGCGAAATACAATTGAAATGTTTTTGTCTAGTAGCTTCTGCAGAGAAACTCTTAAGCATGTTTAATTTTTTCAAGCTGGAACATATCTAAGAGATCCCTGACAATCAGTATTGAGCATAGTTGCTTTTGTTGGACTAAAATGTATTGTATTTACTAGTTAAAAAAATGAAATACAATTTTGTGCCTTTTTTTTTTTCCAGAAACACACAAGGAGTAAAACTGGGTAAACAGAAGCTATATTACATTTTTAGTTTCCTTTCCCTGTAGTAATGAAAATCATTGCTGTTTTTATATATATATCAGAAGACAAAAATAGATCTCCCTTTCCTGTTTCAGCACCTTTTTTTTTTTTAATTTGTCCAAGTAGGTCAAATTATACATAAACTGCTCATATTTTGGTTACATTCCCTACATTCTCTCCTTCAGATAAGCCACAGCCAACATTTCCACAAACCATTTTATGTCTAAAGGTGGTTTCAGTAGACAGTTTCTTGTTACTCAGCCCTACTTGTATTTCTGATGTAAAAAGGGTTTCAGTTTTACCTTTTTTTTTTTTTTTTTTAACACTTCACATGTAGATTTTTTTCTACTTTCAAGAAGTCACCCAATGTCATAAAGGATGTATGCTAAATTGTAGAATAGGGAATGGATTTTTAGGTATGTTGTCAGTTCAACTTTGGTATTTTATTTGTAAACAATAAATTGAGATTGGAATTGATTTAATTTGCTTCTTGCAGCAGCTTAGCTGCTATCAGTTACAATTTTATGTACATTTTACTGATAATTGAAGTAACTCAAATTATTTGTTCAAGACATGCTTACTCATTAAGTGCATTAACGTTTCCAAAAGAAACTGAAATTTGTAACACAAGGCTTTTGATGAAGTTATCCAGACCAAATTTGTGATGTCATTTCTTTTTTGTGATTACTGCTGTTAGAGTTTTTTGCAAGTCAGAGCTGCTTCTGAGTGTTACCAGAAAAACTGAAGAAACTGTTTTTTCAGCACTGAGAACAGTGTACACTCTGCTTGAATTCTTGTATTCGAAAAGCAAAGTAGAATATCTGTTATTGTTTCATGGGTAGATATCTTCCATAATATGTTTTAGGTGAAATAATTATGCTGTATTTCCACTCTAAAACCAAATTGCTTAACAAAATTCATAAATATAATTTCTGATGATCTTCTGTATGCTGCAGTAGCTTGAAGACCTCTCAGAAAAGCTTCATTCCCAGTTTTTTATTTGTTTCGGTGCCACATCCCATCACGTTTCCTCAGGCTCAGTTCACTAGGCCTGTGACGCTTCTGTGCTCTCTGTGCAGCGTACACAGACATTGGGACTTTCTGACTTTGTTCTCAACCGTAAAACCAACTGTGTCTCCTTTAGGATTAGAGCGGTTGGCACAGCAGCTGTGAACATGTGCCTTGTGGCAACGGGAGGAGCCGATGCCTATTACGAGATGGGGATTCACTGCTGGGATATGGCAGGGGCTGGAATCATCGTTACTGAGGCAGGGGGGGTACTGCTAGATGTCTCAGGTGAGTACGTGGGCATGTGTGGTACTCTCTTGGCCTTTTAAATAGCTCTGGAGCCCTCAGGATAGGAAAGATATGGACCTGATGGAGCAGGTCCAGAGGAGGGCCACAAGGATGATCAGGGGGATGGAGCACCTCTGCTACAGGGACAGGCTGAGGGAGCTGGGGTTGTTCAGCCTGGAGAAGAGGAGGCTTCAGGGAGACCTCATAGCAGCTTCCAGTACCTGAGGGGGGCCTACAGGAAGGCTGGGGAGAGCCTGTTTAGAAAGGCCTGCAGTGACAGGACGAGGGGCAATGGCTTTAAGCTGGAGGGGAACAGATTTAGATTGGAGATGAGGAGAGGGTTCTTCACTGTGAGGGTGGTGGAGCACTGGAACAGGTTGCCCAGGGAGGTGGTTGAGGCCCCTTCCCTGGAGATATTCAAGGAGAGGCTCGACGAGGCCCTGGGCAACCTGGTCTAGTTGGGGGTGTCCCTGCTGACTGCGGGGGGGTGGGACTAGATGGCCTTTGGAGGTCCCTTCTGGCCTGGGCAATTCTATGATTCTGTAATTGGGAGCAAAACATAGCTGAAGAGAGAAGGCAAAGAAGTTTTTCAGTCCTCTTTCCAAGTTACTGCTGCGGAACAGAGTTTCCATCCAGTTAATAGACAGAGAGATTCAATTTTATGTTTTTAAGCTACAAGACAACCTTTGCTCCCTTGGCTGAGCACCTGGAAGAGTGAGGAAAGACAGTAAACATACACTGAAGAGAATTTCAATGTAGCTCATATGAGAGAGCTGTTGTGTTATATGAGTTTTTGTCCAGGAAAACTTGGTCCTAGATAGCTATATATCATTTACACTTGATTTTTTTCAATGCTTATTTTCTTACCAACTTCTAACTTTAGGTACAAGCTAGTTACTTTGCTTGCTTTGATTTCTAGGTGGACCATTTGATTTGATGTCTCGAAGAATAATTGCAGCAAGTAGTCGGGCTATAGGAGAGAGAATTGCCAAAGCCCTCCAAATAATTCCTCTGAGAAGGGATGATGCGACTGACTGAACACCAAACCTACAGCTTCCATGTAATTATACACTGTTGTCTCATACTCCCATGTGGTCGTTGTTCTACACCTTGAACCTGATAAAAAGATAGAGAAATAGATGGTAGTCTTTCAGCACTGGTGGGACTGTTAAGTAGTGTTTTGGGATTGGACCAACGTTCTAAGTAAGCTTTTACTGTTAAGTGTTTCATTTAACATCACAATTACATAAAGATCTCTAAAAAGAAGCAAATATATACAGCTAATAGTTTCAAGTTCTATACTGCACTGGAAGGCGTACGAGAGACTCTTTGATGTATAGATAAGCAAAGATAATTTATACTTGTGGAACTCTGGTTCCACAAATGACAAAACAAAATTCATTGTCTTAGCACCACATCATCGCATCTGATCCTGAACCCCCAAAGATGAAGGCATTAGTGTTTATCCAGTCTTTCTCTACCCTGTCTGTTGATCAGTGCCATCAGTGTATCCATTTCCTTCCCTGGTTAGAGTTTTTGTAGAGGTAGCTCACACATTTTCAAACTTTCTTTAGCTGCTTCTGGTTTTGGCCCTAATTTAAAGCTGTTATTACTTAGCTGTCATGGTTTTTGTATTCATCATTCTACCTTTCTTACGGTAGGTAAACACATCCTATTCTTTAGGCTCTTATGTGGCCAGTATGCTTGCAGATTTATTACAGTTGCTAAAATAATATGTTTTGTACCAGAAAATATGCACATCTCCCAGAAATAAGTTGTGAGCACAACTTCTATCACCAAATGGATTTACTGTACATTGAGGTGAAGTGTGATTTGCATTTGACCATTGGAATCAGCTGATACTAGGTCCCCTGCATTATTCTTGGCAGGTGTAACTCCTGTTAATTTTGCTTAGGATTCTCCATGGATGAGTGTCTTTCAAAGTCTAAGGAATTATTAAAATTCAAGAGAGTTTTCAGTAACTCAGCTCACAAAAATATAAGCCTATAGTCCAGATTTTTTTACGTCATTTTCTGTAAGTTATAAAAGCACTGACCGACCAGGATCAGGTTTCCATTGTGTTATAGAGTGTACAGGCACAAAAGAAATACACATCTAAACCTAGAGGGTTTATAAATATAAGAAATGTTAGTAATTTCATTCTTGGTGTCAGTTGTTCTAAACTTTGAAAATTGTACTGGTTCTTTGAATTTTTGTATTGAAGGTTTTTAAAAGTATTGGTGTACTCTTCAAATAATTACTGCATTTAAAAAAAATATTTAACTTAGATAAATGTTTAGACTGATTTTTCCACATTTCCTAAAGAAAGTTGTCTCATTGGTAGTCCAGTAAAGACACAGCAGTGCTATGGAAACTCTGGCTTCTTGTACTGCTGTCCTGCTATTTTTATTTTGGGAAACAGTGTTCTCTGTTTTGAAGTTTCAGCAGATCTCTTACTGTAAATTCCAGTCTTTTGTATCAGTTGATTTTTGCAGAAATATTTAATTTGAAGTTGTATCTAATGCCAGACAATTAACATTAATGAGATTTAAAGGTCTTGTCAAAAAGCCAGGCTTACGTTAAGTTTACTTTTTAAGTTCCCATTGACAAGGATAGAAACTTTTTGATCGTTTCAGTGTAACTGATGTGGGATCATTATTATTTCTAGAGAAGCCTGTCTGCTGAACTATTTGGCGCTTCAAGTTATCTGATTTAGTGGGAGGTGTCTCTACCCGTGGCAGGTGGGTTGGAACTAGATGATCTTTGAGGTCCCTTCCAACCCAGTCCATTCTATGATGATCTCTGTGGCTTTCGTATAACAGATTCTGCATAATTTTTTTTAAACTGATTTACTTGTGAAATGGAGACGTGTCTAAAAAATACTTGAGATGGGAGAACACATTCGAAATAAATATGCTTTAGTGGCAGTGGCTTCAGATGTGCTTCCTTTCTCAACATCCACTGGAGTACTGTGGTGGATCCCAACAGGCTGGATTTGTGGGCTTCAGGCTTTCTCAGAGTCAACACTTTCTCTTCTTGGCTTCTGATTTACATAAATCATAAACTGTTGTGCCTTTAGATAAGTGAGATTATGCATACGCCTGCAGTATTGGAATAGTAACTCTAAAAACCTACTTTCAAGTGAGATCCTTAAGATCATCAAATTTGGTCCTCAAGAATATGGTTTAGTGTGTGGTATTTTGGTGGGTTTTTTTTTTTTTTGCTTATTTATTTTTTTGTCAGAGTTAGGTTGATGTTTGGACTAGATGATCTTTAAGGTCCCTTCCAACCTAGAGAATTTTATGATTCTATGACCATGGTGCATTAGTCATCTCCAACCTCAGAGCTCAGACTTTGCAGATTATCCTGCCTGTGATTTGTTTTGGAGGCCTATCAGGGGATTCAACCATGTAGCTTTCTCACTGTTAGCTTTCCTAATAATGTTCTTCCAGGAAAAATTTATACGAATTTCCCATCTTGGCCCTCTCACTCTATTTGTTTTGGAGAACAGCCTTTTTTTTTTTTTTTTTAACTCTATAAATATTTGTCGGCTTTCATCAATTTTCTGCGTTCTCTTTGATTTCAGCCTCCCTTTCAGGGGGATCAGAAATCTACTTTGTTTGCTACTTTGCTAAGATAACTCTTCATCTGGTATGTGGCCACTTCTTTCAGCATGTGAAAGGACACCAAAATGTAATTGTTAACAGGCATTTTATTTTTGATTTTGTGCTAGCCTGCAATTTTGGCAAATTTTTGTAGTATGTGTTTTTTGTAGTAAAACAGAACTCGTGATTGCTGTGTAATCAAAATGCTTTTGAGAGATTATATATGAGATAGAGTCTCTGAACGTTCGTAAAATACTTGGTTTTGTTGTTTTGAAAGATGGAGTGACAGAGATAATAATCTTAGGCTTTTTTTATAATAATCAGTTACCACAGATTGAACAGACTGTCGTGAGCATTCCTTATGAAGATACCAAGGTCTGGTACACAGGAAGCTTTCAGAGGTAGCTTTTCAGTGAACAACTCATGACTTCAGCTGGCAAATTTTGCTGTGGCTTGAAACTCAACTTGAGTGCTTGTGGCACTCAACTCTGGGTGAAGGACACTCAAAACTTGCAAGTGCAAGGAGAAGGAGAGCAGGTGGATTCAGCAACTGGAGCAAGTGAAAAGTTCCAAGAAATACTACTGGAAATCAAAGGACTGCATGGGCAAATTGTGCCACTCCCTTCTCCCACCTTTACCTTGAGAATGTGAATGGTCAGCATCATTGCTGTAGAGTCCACTGCTGTCCTTAACAAAGATCTTCACAGTGGGGGATACTGACTTTTAGGCTGAGACTAAACCAATCAGTACAACAAAATAAGTAATACTGATGATTAGCAGTTCTCTGTGTGAAAGCAGGGAGGCAGCCCTAGCCTATCATCCCTGTTCCTTCACCCTCTCCATTTATTGATTTGCTGATAGTTTGTGATTGCAGGTTGTCATGGAAAACAAAGCTTTGCTCCTGCTTCAAAGGAGGGTGTTGCGGTAGATTCAATCCTTCACAGAACCTTCTAGGTTGGAAGGGACCTTAAAGATCATCTTGTCCAACCGTCAACCTAATTTTGACAAAAATAAACACCCACACAACAAACAAAAAGCAACACCATCACTAAACCATACCTCCCAGCACTACATCAACCCGTCTTTTGAACACCTCCAGGGATGGGGCCTCAACCACCTCCCTGGGCAGCCCATTCCAATGCCTGAGAACCCTTTTGGGGAAAAAATTTTTCCCAATATCCAGCCTGAACCTCCCCTGGTGTGACTTGAGGCCATTTCCTCTTGTCCTGTCGCCTGGGACTTGAGAAAAGAGACCGACCCCCACCTCTCTACACCCTCCTTTCAGGGAGTTGGAGAGAGCAATAAGGTCTCCCCTCAGCCTCCTCTTCTCCAGGCTGAACACCCCCAGCTCCCTCAGCCTCTCCTCATAAGACTTGTGCTCCAGACCCCTCACCAGCTTTGTTGCTCTTCTCTGGACCCGCTCCAGCACCTCGATGTCTTTTTTTATGGTAGGGAACCCAAAACTGGACACAGGGAGCCCAAAACTGGACTTTTTTTTTTTTTTCTCAGAGCTTTTCCCAGCATGAAACTTTGCCAAAGTCAGCAAAGGCTTCAGGCTCTCACCCAGCCCTCTTAAGCAGCCCTGCAGAAAATCCCTTGCCTGCCCCCCGAAAAGAAATATGGACTATTCCTCGTAATATCTGTGATTCAAAGTTATGGTTTTAATTTTGCATAGTCTCGTGCCTTAGGGTGTGAACTAGACATTCAGATTAGGTATAAAAAAGGTCAATCTATCGCCTCAGAATGAAGCAATTTGAATAAGGGAGATCTCTTTCTTTTCCTGAGCTTCTTCCCACCCTCTCAAAGCCACCTGCTAATTCAGCTCCATTCACTACCTGTGAGCAAAGTGATTGCTTTTCAAGTCTGGACCTGTTCCTAAAGTGCTGATAGGGGCCTTCCAGCAGCAGGTTGGGTTTGGATCCACAGCAGTTGGCGTGGCTTCCTTTGTTTGCACAGACTCCAGGCCTGGGAATGACCTTGACACTGATGTGATGCCTCCAGATGCCTCCAGAGCCAGGCAGCCAGACCTCCCGGACGACAGAATCCACTCCATCTCTGGGTTACTGATTGTCCTCCCCCAAACAGGACAGGTGTCACGTCACTTTGCAGTTCGTACAACCTTCATGCAAAGATCTGTGGCTCCTCAAAGGTCAGCAAGAGCTTCTGAAGTCTCCCCCATGCCCGTTCTCTGCACCAACAGGGCAAACGGAACCACGGGCTGCATCCAGAAGAAACCACCCAGAGGAGCTTGCTGGGCTGGGAGCACATTGTGTTGATGTATTGAAGAGCTGCAAACTCTTGCCCGTCTGAGGAGGGTGGATTAGACCTCCCGCAGTAAAGCAGAAGTCATTTCCTAGCACAATGCAAGCCAGTAAGATGCTAAAAATAATGATTTGTGTATGTCCTGTTCCAGAAGTTTATAGTCCCCATCCCTGGCTGTGTTTAAGGGCCGTTTAGATGCAGTGCTGAGGGACATGGTGTAGGGGAGGACTTTGTAGAGTAGGGGAGATGGTTGGACTCGATGATCCCAAGGGTCTCTTCCAACCTAGACGATTCTATGATTAGCTTTATGCATTTTATACATTAGTATATATACATTTATTCATTAGTTTATACATTGTGTGCTGTAATTACTCTTGGTTTGCACTGTTGCGGTGATGATTTTTACACTGAGGTGATTCTCCCTACACCAATTTTGCTTTAGTTAGGAATCAGGCCTTCTGTACACTGTCCTCCCACTTAAAGTGGGAGGAAAAGAAGCCCAAATGTTCCTCGTATGAGGAGTGGTTGAAGGAGCTGGGACTGTTCAGTTTGAGGAAGAGGAGGCTGAGGGGAGACCTCATCACTCTCTACAACTGCTTGAAAGGACACTGTAGAGAGGTTGGTGCTGGTCTCTTCTCACAGGTAATTAACGACAGAACAAGAGGGAACGGCTTCAAGCTCCAACAGGGGAGGTTTAGACTGAACATTAGGAAGGAATTTTCCACAGAGAGAGTGGTCGGGCATTTCACTGAATTTCACTGAATTTCTAGAGTTGGAAGGGACCATAGAGATCATCTAGTCCAACTCCCCTGCTGAAGCAGGATTGCCCAGAGCTAGAGCATGTTGCTCAGGAGCATCCAGGCGGGTTTTGAAAATCTCCAAAGAAGGGGACTCCACACCCTCCCTGGGCAGCCTGTTCCAGGGCTCCGTCACCCTCACCGTGAAGAAGTTTCTCCTCATATTTGAGTGGAACCTCTTATGTTCCAACTTGTGCCCGTTGCCCCTCGTCCGGAACAGGCTGCCCAGGGAGGTGGTTGAGTCACCATCCCTGGATGTGTTTAAGGGACGTTTAGATGTGGTGTTGGGGGATATGGTGTAGGGGAGAACTTTGTTGAGTAGGGGAGATGGTTGGACTCGATGATCCCAAGGGTCTCTTCCAACCTAGACAATTCTATGAAACACAACAGCAACTACTGTAGCCCAGCAGGAGTGAAGCACAGAAGCCCACCCCCTCATCACGCCGTGGAAGATGAAGGTTTATGTTTGTTATGTCTGTCCTTAGCTCAGTAGAGACCATGCTTATGGCCACGTGAAGCAGTTCATTCAGAGAAAGGGATGCTACCCCCATACTTGAGAACTACTTTCAGAAGAGCTCTTCCCCCTCGCTGTGTGGAATCTTCCTCCTCTGTTGTCCCTTGGAGAGGTGGTCCTGTGCTGGTTCTCCTGCCCGTGTACACAGGCAGAGTTTGGTCTCAGAGAAGATTCCCAAAGACTCCAACCAAGCCGTGCTCCTCACCACGCCGGACAAAACACTAGATGGCAGCCGGAGCCAGGAAAACACCAGAAGACCCAGGGTTCCTTTTTTTAATAGACAAGATTCCCTTTTCCACTCCTCCCTCCCGTCCTCCTGCTGCTCTCTGTAATTATTTTTGGATACAACTGAATTATATATTATATATATTTGAGAATTATTCAAAAGAAGTACACCAGAAATTTTTGCGGACTTGGGCTCTGTCTTTCTGTGACTTGACAAGAAATTTGAAACAGGAGTTGTGCCAGCAGCGTTAGCATTCTCTCCTCTTCCATCTATCACAAGAACGTGAACTCTAAAAGAGATTAAAAGCCATAAAAATGATGAGATTATAATGCATTTAAGGCTGTAGTTATTTCCGCTGTATTTTTGCTGTCATAAGTTAGGATATGGCTTTTAGAAGCCTTTTTTTCAAGCCTACCAGATAATCTTCTGGGCAGGCACGTGTCCATCTGTGTGAGATACGGCACACTGGGACCACGGACACAAATGAGCCACCCTTTATGATTGTTGGGATGTGAATGTTTTATTTTC